CCCTCTGCCTCTCCCCCCTCTTGCTCTCTCTCTGTGTCTCAAAAATAAATATTTAAAAAATATATATAAAAGCCACTTTTAGCTTGTGAGCCACGCAAAACCAGGCAGCTTGTTTGAATTGGGGTGTGGTTTGGTGACCCCTTGTTGGAGAGGATCATTTGAGAGATGACATGACTGTCAGTGGACCTGTGAGCTGGTGCCAGGTAATCGGAGGCCCCGCATCCCCTGCCCGCTCCTTGGAGTGTCCTCTGTGGCCCCCTTTCCTGCACTAGGAGCCATTTCAAGGAAGCCGACTCCAGGCAGCCGCCTGCAGCACTTCGAGGGCCCAGCATGTTTGTGTTTGTATAAGGGGGAACCTCAGTTTTCACTCCTGAGTAGGGAAACCCAGTTCTCCACCTCCTTCTTTGTTCTTTTTCTTGTGAGTCTTCGAAACCCAGTGTCTCCTTTACCACCCGCACAAAGCACGAGACACGAACACTTCTGACGCTTCTGGTCACGAAAGATGCGGACGTTTTCCTTACACCACGCGATTCCGTAATGCCAGCTGGGTGTCCTGCAGTTTAACTCCGTTCTGACACCATCCACCTGGAGGTACAGTCCTATCCCACAGGTTAAAGGCTCAGTCCCAAAAGACTGGTCCCCTCCTGTTCCACTTCAATACCAGCTGCACGTAGTAGGTCTCCAGGTTACCTACAACTTCTGTGTGATGTGGCTACATTGCCAGGTGAACTGGGGAGACCCCGGGCCCCTGGGATGTCAGCCCAGCCAGACCTGGGTCTAGTCTTGTCGGGACACCTGGGTGGCTCCGTTGGTTAAGCATCCGACCCTTGATTTTGGCTCAGGTCGTGATCTCATTGTTCCTGAGATGGAGCCCCAGGTAGGGCTTCATTCTAACAGCTCAGAGCCTGCTTGGGATTCTCTCTCTCTCTGTCCCTCCCCCACTTTTGCATGCACACGCTCTCTCGAAATGAACAAATAAGCTTAGAAAAAAAGAGGTTCTTGTTCTTGTCATGAGAATGAATTCAGGGACAGACACGCAGCACGGCAGATGAGCAACACAAGCGGGAAAGTTTATTAAGGCGAAAGCACACTCGTGAGAAATGAGAGCTGGGAAGCTCAGAGAGCAGTACGGCTGGCGGGTTGGGTTTCTATCTTCAATTGGCAGTTGCTAATTTGTGGTGGGGGAGGGGACATATTCATTTCTTGGGGTGGGAAGCAGGGTTTCCCGCTTTTTCTTCCTAATTTGGCCAGGGGTTTCCTGTCATGGCTTCTGCCATCTTGGGCCTGTCTGGTTGGATCCGGTTTCTTGTGGAGTGCTGCCTGGACGGGGCTCTGACCTTCCCCATGGCTGGCCAGGACTTCCTTGTTGCTGGCCTCCAGGCGTCCTGTCCCAACCTAACTAAGCCTGTTCGAACAGCTACAAATTGGAGGTTCCCACAGCTGCTTCCTCAGGTTTGGTCAATTTGCTAGAGCAGCTCACAGAACTCAGGGAAACACTGACTTTCACCAGTTTATGGAAAGATCAGACAAAGGATGCACATAAACAGCTAGATGAAGAGATACGTAGGACAAGGTCTGGGAGGGTCCCAAGAGCAAGAGCTTCTGTCCCTGTGGAGTTGGGATGTGTCACCCTCCTGGTGTGGATGTGTTCATCAACCTCAAAGCTTCCAGACCCTCTACTGTTGAGATCTTATGGAGGCTTCCTCACATAGGCACCATCAATTATTAAGTCCCTTTTCAGCCCTTCTCTCTTCTCTGGAGGATGGGGGTGGGGCTAGAAAATTCCAAGCTTCTAATCATGGCTTGGTTTTTTTTTCTGGTGACCAGTTCCTGGCCAGGAGCCAACCAGGAGCCCACCCAAAGGTGCCTCAATGGAACAAAAGATGCTACTATTACTTTTTCCACTTAGGAATTTACCAAGGTTTTAGGAGCTCTGTGCCAGGAACACAGGGCAGAGACTGATTTTTTTTTTTATAATCTCAGTTTCCCTTCTCTTAGGATCTCAGCCTTGTTGTTGGGCAATGTCTGAAAACCTTTGCTTCATTATTTTGATTGGTTTTCGAATTATTTAAGGCAGGAGGGTTTATCTACTGCCAATTACTTCCACCTGGAAGCAAAAGTCCCAACTTCCTACTTATTGGTGAGTGATTTTCCACTGAATGGTATTTGTTGAAAGTTTCACCTGTGCTTGGACATTTGGGTTGCTTCCAGTTTTTGGCTATTATGAATGAAACTGTACAAGTATTTGTGTAGACATAAGTTTTAATTTCTCTTGGGTAGATACCTAGCAGTGGAATTCCTGGATCAGAGTATTGCATGTTTAACTTTATAAGACACTGCTGAACAATTTTCCAAAGTGGCTGTATTAGCAGTGCATGAGTTCTGGTTGCTCCATCATCATCGACCCTTGGTATTGTCAGTCTTTTAAACTTTTAGCCATTCTAGTGTATGGAGTGGTATCTTTAAAGAGATATTTTATTTTTTTAATGTTTATTTTTGAGAGAGAGAGAGAGAGGGAGACAGAGTTCAAGCAGGGGAGGTGCAGAGAGAGAGGGAGACACAGAATCTGAGGCAGGCTCCAGGCTCTGGGCTGTCAACACGGAGCCAGGCATGGGGCTCAAACTCACGAACCGAGAGTTCGTGACCCAGGTTGAAGTCAGTCGCTTAACTAACTGAGCCACCTAGGAGCCCCTAAGATTTTGTTTTTAAGCAATCTCTACATCCAGTATGGGGCTTGAACTCACAACCCCGAGATCAGGAGTCTCATGCTCTATTGACTGATCCAGCCAGGCGCCCCTATGTAGTGGTATCTAATTGTGAATGTAATTTACATATTCCTGATAACTAATGATGCTGATCATCTTTTATGAGTTTACTTGCCTTTTGTTGTTGTTTAAAATGAAGTTTAGGTTTGTATCTTTTCTTCCCTCTGGCTTATCTTCTAGTTACTGAATTGTAAGAGTTCTTCTTTATAGTCTAGATATAAACCCCTTGTCAGATATAACAGAGCCCACTCCTCTGCTGGATTGAGAAGAAAGGAGCAGGTATAAGAATATAAACAGGCCACTGTTGTCATCAAGGAGAGAGATGATCATGTCTTCAACGAGCATAGGGGTTTAGATGGAACAAGGTACATGGAATTTAAATTTTATTTTTATTTATTTTAGTTTATTTGTTTATTTTGAGAGAGTGTGAGTGAGGGAGGGGCAGAGAGAGAGAGAGAGAGGGAGAGAATCCCAAGCAGGCTCCTTGCTGCCAACGTGGAGTCTACGCTGGGCTCAAACCCATGAAGTACAAGATCCTGACCTGAGCCAAAATCAAGAGTCAGATGCCCAACTGACTGAGCCACTCAGGCACCCCTAAAATTAGTTAATTAATTAATATTACTACTATTATTTTAATGTTTTTTTGAGAGTGGGGAGGGACGGAGAGAGAGGGGGATAGAGGATCCAAAGTGGGCTCTGCACTGACAGCAGAGAGCCTGATGGGGGGCTTGAACTCACGAACTGAACTCACAAGCTTTGAGATCATGACCTGAGCTGAAGTCGCACACTCAACCTACTGAGCCACCCAGGCGGCCCCCGACTAAAATTTGTTAAAAAGAACCTCAAGAGATTCTGGATCTATTTGTTTTTCCCTTTTGTCTTCTGAACATTCTTAATTATATTTAAAAAATACAAACCTGAATTACCTCTGTGCTTGCATTAACTACAGGAGGATGTCCCGGGAACCTAGGACATACATTCTTTTCCTGTTCCTTTTTCTGAGCCATGGAATGGCAAGTCATAGAGTTCCAGATTCCAGGCAGGGTAAGTCCTGAGGGAGGAACAATCTGTCATAGTTTCCACACATTTTAGGGAATGTAGTGGGGGTAGATCAACGTAGGTACATGATACTGTGAAGTGTTTTGGGAAGTGTGCATATATGTGAGTGTGTGTCCATCCACATATATATGTAGGATTTTCAGGATTATTCTAAAAGTTTATATTTTTTAAAGTTTATATTTTATTTTGAGAGAGAGAGAGAGAGAGAGAGAGAGAGAGAGAGAGAGCAAGCAAGCAGGGAAGGGTCAGGGAAAGAGGGAGACAGAATCCCAAGCAGGCTCTGCACTAATAGCTCAGAGCCCGACTCAGGGCGCCAACTCATGAACCATGAGATCATGACCTAAGCTGAAGTCAAGAGTCCGATGCTTAACTGACTGAGCCACCCAGGCTCCCCTAAAAGGGTTTATCAAACCAGAGTTTTCTCACACTGGGCATATATTGGCACAGGTAAAATTAAAATTCACTAAAATTTTCCCTCATGAGTGACTCTTTTTTTGGGGAGGGGGGCTCTTTTCCTAACCCATGTTTATATTTCTGAAGATTATACCATTCAGTTCTAGTTATACCTCCAATGGCTTTCTTACAGATTTGTATCCCCTGTTGCAAAAAATGGCGGTGAGTATCCCGTTTTCTTTGAATCAAACTCTCCTTTACTGGAACTGCCAACTTTGGGTGTTTTACTTGACATTATTTCTTTGCCTTTTAGGAAGAAATAATAGATGGAAGCTATCTGAATGGTAATGTCCCTAATCTGTCCCCACTTTGCTGCTTCTAGAAATTTCAGACAGAATGTGCCTGTGATCTCTCTGGAATGATTCTTTTAAAGTTGTCTTTTCATTTTATTCCCATGTAGCCTTACTGGATCTCATACAGTTTCAAAGGTAACCCACCCTAGAGGGGAGGGGAAGGGATGGAATAGATACTTTATAAAAATTCTTAAATGGAAGTCTGTTAATTGTAAAAAGTAATACCTACATACTTATTACAAAAAACATAGCAACCAGTGCACAGGTGTTTGAAAGTAGATATGTTTGCTTCACAAACTTTTATTCCTCTCTGCTCTGGCACAAGTGCTAACCTTTATTGAGGGTTTACTATGTGGCAACAACATTCTTAGTGCTTTGTGCATAGAAACATGTCCAATCCTCACAAGCACCCCCAGGGAGGGTCCTGTTGTTTCTCATTGGACAGAGCAGTGAAAGGGAGGCACAGGAAGGGTGAATCAAGGTCACGTAGCTGGGCAGTGTGGTGGAGCTGAGTTGTACATCCAGCAGTGGGGCTCCAGGATGCGTTGCCCTGTCATGTTTTATACTGCATGTGGGCTGGTGTTAGATACTGAGGTTGTGGGACAGGGCACTAGAGAGTGTTGTGAAAAGACAAATATTAGCAGATAATTCTAATATGATGAGTACTGTGAAGGAGAAGAAATGGGGCTTGGGAGCCCATGACAGGAGCACTCAATTATATTAAAGAGGAGGAGTGCCCATAAACACTCTTCTTCCTAATGTAGCTTTAACTTCAGTTGATAGTTTTGGATATATTCGTTCAGGCTAAAATCTATCTATCTATCTATCTATCTATCTATCTATCTATCTTTGTATTCACTTATTCATTCATCTACTTATTTAATAACAAAAATTTACCAATTGTTTAAGGCAGAAGGATTTATGTGCTGCCCATGACTCCATTACAGCCGGAAGCTGAAGTCCAGCTCATTCCTTTTATATGGTTGGGTGACACTCCATTGAATGGATGTACCATACCATTTCTAAATTTTTTTTAACGTTTATTTATTTTTGAGATAAAGAGACCATGAGTGAGAGAGGGGGAGAGGGAGAGGAAGAGAGAGAGAGACAGACAGACAGACAGACACACAGAATTAGAAGGAGGCTCCGGGCTCTGAGCTGTTAGCACAGAGCCCAACATGGGGCTCAAACCCACGAGTGGTGAGATCATGACCCGAGCTGAAGTTGGACGCCCAACTGACTAAGCCACACAGGTGCCCCTGGATGTACCATAACATTTAACAAATGTTAAAACATTTGTGTAACCTTTTACTTGTTGGACATTTGAGTCATTTCCAGTTTTTGGATGTTATGAACAAAATTATGCATTTTCTATGTGTTGGGCACTGTTTTAAGCACTTAAGATGTGTGAACAAGTAGAATCCTCACTATTTTTATCTATATTGCATAGAAAGGGAAACTGAGGCAAAGGAAAATTCAGTAAACTGCCTAAGACCACACAATTAAGTGACAGAGCCAGGATTCAAGTCCCAGTTTTGAGCTCACACTCTTAAATTGTGCTATTCCAACCTCTCATGGTATACACTGTTTCTGCTCTTTAAGTTTTATATAGTAAGGACATCTTTCCAAGTGAGTCTGTTTGGAGTGTAGATAACACACGTGGAATGTTATGGGAATTAGAATATTGCACTTAGCTCAGAAATTGATAATTGTCTTTGAGAGAATGGGATCCAGGAGGATTCTTAGAATTGGAAACTCCCCCACCAGTGTGCCAGGTTAACAAATCTCCTACCTCCTCCAAACACAAAGTTCCTAGCATTCCTGGCCCATTCCCCACATCCTCTCTTAACTCTGGTCCCCTGGCCTCTTGGCAAGTAGGGAAACTGCTCATCAGGGGAACCTATCATTGTGACCTTCTCCTGCCTGTCTTCAAATGAAGCTCCCATGGGTGGACAGCGGACCTGTCCCACAGAGTCCTGGAGTATCTGAATTCACGGAACGTTGCCTTCACCATCCCCAGCCTGCAGGTGCGTACCTGAGACTCATCCCTATCATATATTCACCTCTCAGTGCTCAGTCAGGAGTTGTAAACTCAAGGGCCTGGTAAGATGGAGAAGTGGGCCAGGTATGGAGATAGTCTTCACTTCTGCAAAGAAACATGTTCTGTCCAGTTGTTTTGAAACTTTTGTGTTTTTCCACCCTTCCACCTTTGATGGAGACTTGGCGTATTAGGGTGTAGGGCGGACCTACTGTAACAAAGAGATCCCAGATTCTAGCAGCGTGAACAGTTTTGTTTGTTTCTTTTTTTTATTTAATTTTTTAAAAGTAATCGCAGCACTCTGGTAGCGCAATCAGTTAGCATGCGGTACTTATAAAAGTAATCTCTACGTGCAACACGGGACTTGAACTCATGACCCTGAACTCAGGAGTTGCATGCTCTACGGAGCCAGTCAGGCACCCCCAATTTAGTTTCTTTCTATCTCGTGTTATAATTCAGAGCTAGGTGGGAGATCCAGAGAGGAGAGGAAGCTCTATTTCAGAACACCATCCAGGGGCCCAGGTTCCTTCTGTCTTGTTGCTTTGTCATCCTCTAGGGAGTTGTTGCCCACGTGACTGAAACATCACATCCATTCTCCGACCTAGGAGGTGGGGTGGTGGGAAAGAGGAAGTGAAGGGCAAGCATCTTCTCTTTCAAGGACATGAGCTGCAAGTTGCACACTTTGTGCTGCTCCCATTCTGTAGGGCTCACAGTCCACAGTCATGCGTTACTGCAGAGAAGTAAGAAGAGAGGCCTTTCTGAGAAGCCATGTAGTCAGCTAAAACTTGTGGGATTCTGTTGCTAAATGGAATTACAGGAGACTGGATCTTTGGGCATAATTATCAGTCTCTTGATCGTGGGTCCAAGAAATGTTTTTCTTCCCTTTTAACTCTATTGTAAGAGAAACAGTAGCACAGGTATGTTAATAGATGGTAATGATATTTGTAGAGCAGTAGGGCATGGTGGGGACTGTGGCAAACTGGACAGCATACCTCATCAGCATGAGCATCAGCCCAGTGTGGTATGTCATATCTTTGCCATTATACTGTGAATAGCACAGAAAATTGAGAAAATATTCTTTTGGTATTCAAAAACTATTTGATTTAGGAAAGAAGTTGGTCATTGATGAATGAAGTCCTGATGTCTTTATTGTTTCACTTTTTATTTATTTAATTTTTTTAATGTTTATTTTTGAGAGAGAGAGAGAGAGAGAGACAGAGACAGAGACAGAGCACAAGTTGGGGAGGGGCAGAGAGAGAGGGAGACACAGAATCAGAAGCAGGCTCCAGGCTCTAAGCTGTCAGCACAGAGCCCGATGCGGGGCTCAGACTCACGAACCGTGAGATCATGACCTGAGCTGAAGTCAGACGCTTACCCAACTGAGCCACCCAGGTACACCTTATTTACTTTATAATGAAATGAAAATATCAACCAACATTCACAATGAGAACTACATTCAGAGAGCTGGTTGCTAACTAGTTACCAGGACACCCATTAGCTGGAGGTGGCTGTTGACTTCACGGCATTTGTTTTATTCTGTTCATCAGTCTGTGGCAACCTGAAGGGAATTAATGCCTGCCCCTTTTCTGGCTAGTAGTAAGTTTTCTCATGAGATGTGTGTGTGTGTGTGTGTGTGTGTGTGTGTGTGTGTGTGTGTGTATACATACACATGTATATATACAGTTATATATACATACAGTTATATATATATACATATACAGTTATATACACATATATATACGTACAGTTTATTTATGTTGAGAGAGTGTGCACACACATGCAGGAGAGGGGCAGAGAGCAAGAAAGAGAATCCTACGCAGGCTCCACACTGCCTGCGCAGAGCCTGATTCAGGGCTTGAACGCAAGAACCGTGAGATCATGACCTGAGCCGAAATCAAGAGTTTGGATGCTCAACAAGCTGAGCCACCCAGATGCCCCAAGATGTGTATATTTTAACCTGACCAGTAGATATATTGTCTCTCTTGCTATGTATAAATTTATTTATTCATTCAACATCTACTTATCTAGCCTCTATTCTCTTCCAGGCATAGTTCTAGACATTGGAGACGCAGGAGAACAAGGCAGTCACATTACTACCGACATGGGCCTTTCATTCTAGAGGGACAGTCACAGAGTAAATAATTATTCAACTCATTCAGGATAGGGAATGATGGGTGGCACAAATTGACCACTTACTGTGTGCTAGCCAATATTGAAACTGCTTTACACACACTAATTTAATCCTCATAACAAACCTACATAGTAAGTCTCTATTGTCTCTGTTTTTCAGCTGACAAAATTGAGGTCCCAAAGTACTGTTGCTCATTTAGCAAATAAAAATACAGTGTTCCTGGAGTGCCTGGCTGGCTCAGTCGGTGGTACATGCAACTCTTGAGTTCGGGGTTGTGAGTATAATTCCCATGTTGGGTGTAGAGATTACTTTTAAAAAATATGGTATTTCCCATTAAATTTGATTTGCAGATGAACAATGAATTTTTTTTTTTTAGTATATGTCTGTCCCATGCAATATTTGGGACATACTTGGGCTCAAAAATTATTCACTATTTAACTCCAATTCAAATTTAACTGGGCATTCTGTATTTTATCTACCAATGCTAGGTAAGTAACTTGTCCAAGGCCACACAACTGGTTGGTGGCAAAGTGGGGATGTGCACATGGGTTGTCTGGTTTTAGAGCCCACCTTTTGCCCATGACATCACAGTATGCTGCCCTTGTAGAGCACCTTTGTTTAAGAGAGATTTAGAAAATAATTCCCCAGACAGCAGAGTAATCTCTTTTAGGAAAGGCTGCAGACCTCTGCTTCTCACTTTAGAAAGGATACCAAGGGGGAGTTTGTACATGCTGCCTGAATTTTGCTTTTTCTCTGATAGCTTGCAGCGTGGGAGAGGGTTTGAGCAGTGCCAGTCTGGGGGTGGTAAACTTCCTGGACAGAGGCCAGCGGCTCTGGACTTGAAACCTCAAGCACCTATAGGAACCTGGCAGGGCATGGGGAGATCGGCTGGCTGGGTGGGTGGTGAGCAGGAGTGTAATTACAGGGAGCAGCTGGCCCTTGGCTTGCTGATTATCACCAGGAAGAGGATGCATGCCTAGCGTTGCCAAATCTTTGTGTTTTCCAAGAGAAGTTGGAAGTCTGGATTTTTGTGGGGAATCCCTGGACTTCAAAATGTTGGCAGCTAATGAAAAATTTTGGAGCCAGCCAAACCAAACATGGCTGCAAGCTGCCAGCTTGTGGTCTCTGCAGGGAAGTAGGTGGCCTGGCTGGGCTGCTGGCCGTGGTGCTGATCAGATGCTCCTGTCCCATCCTCACTGTATCTCTCAACACTCCCTATCAAGGCAGCCATGGAAAACCACCTGGAGCAGCGTCTGTACCAGCCCCAGAAGCTGCTGGAGGACCTGAAGGAAACAGATGCTCAGCAGTTCCGCACCGCCATGAAATGCCTCTTGGAAGACAAGAAGGACCGCCTGGTGAGGCATTCTTGGCACCCCGGGAGTAGGGGAAGTCCAGGGCCAGTTGACATTTGTTGAGTTGAATCCAACTGAGCCTGACTTAGACCCTTGGCCCTTCTTTATGTCTTCCTTCCACCTTCTCCCTTCGCAACCCCTCCAGGAGCTTGGAGACCTTGGTTTTCTCACTTCCTTTCTCCAAAGTTCAAGTGAAGAGCCTTATAGCTTGTACTTTTATAGGTACTAAGAAATGAGGGGTACTGAGGAGGTTCAATTTATTTGGCCTGATAAACACCCGTGAATAATTACTCTGCATCAGTGGACACTGGGTTCAGAGACAAAGGACTAGCCCTGCCCTGAAGGAATTCACAGTCTGGAAGAGGGGGCGGGAGACAAAAAACAGAAATAGATACATTTCCAAAAAAACAAAGTTGGTGATCTAAGAGCATCACAAAGTAAGGCCTGTGAGACCCAGGAAATCTTGGGACACAGGTGAGGTTTTGAGTTTTCCTTATCAGACCATTTAGTGCACAACAGTGTTTCCCAAAAGGAGTTGACCCATGTAAACATTTTAATAGTCACATTTTATTTTATAGTGTCTGTTATTAAAATAGAATGGATACATCATTCTATTGAGTGAGTTTGGGAGAGATGTGATGTTTCCTTTTTTGAAATGCATTTAAGTTTAAAAGAAAGAGTCCGTTTAAAAAAAAATCCTATGAGGTAAATAATAGTAAAGGCAGCACAAAGATGGCAAAAATGAGGATGGTGGTCTATGAAAATGATACATATTTTTAATATTTATTTATTTACTTATTTTTTTTTAAGTTTATTTATTTTGAGAGAGAGAGAGAGAGAGCGTGTGCGCCAGCAGGGAGGGGGGTTGGGGTGGGGTGGGGTGCAGAGAGAGAGAGAGAGAGAGAGAGAGAGAGAGTGAGAGAGAGAATCCCAAGCAGACTCTGCACTGTCAGTGTGGAGCCTGACACAGGGCTTGAGCTCACAAACCACGAGATCATGACCTGAGTCGAAATCAGAGTCAGCTGCTTAACCAACTGAGCCACCCAGGTGCCCCCTAAGCTGCACTCTTACTCACTGTACTGTTTTAGCCCCAGACAGTAAATTACCAAAGTTAAAGAAACATTTGGTCATGGTTAGAAGTATGGGCTTGAATGCAGATACACCTGTTACAGAACCTAGCTCTGTGTAATTTGGGCAGGTTGCTTATTCTATCTTTTATTTTCATCCCCTGCAATATTGGGATAATAATAGCATGTAACATTTGTTGAGCGTTCACTAGGTGCCAGCCAGTCTACACTCATTATCTTCTTTAATTCTTATGCAAACCTAAGAGATAGGCACTGGTTTTATCTCCATTTTACAGAGAGGGAAACTGAGACTTTAAAAAGGTAAGTGACTTGCTTGGGGACACACAGATAATAAGGGGACGACCTGGGATTTGAACCTAGGAATGTCTGGCCTTCGGATCTATGGGGCTTAACCTGTAGGACTGTCATGAGAATTACATGAAAAGAGACATGTTTGCTTCATGCCTGGTATGGTGCCTAGTATGTGGTCATTGTTCAATAAATGTTATGTTTGCAGGGTGTGCTGGCTGAAAGACTGAGTGCCAATCAAATTGGGACCAAGCTCTGTCAGCATTCTTGGATTCTGTGGTTCAGAAGAGCCATTCATTCATCCATCCATCCATCCATCCCAATATGCTTTCTCAATATCTTCTGGGTACCAGGCATTCCACTAGGCACATGGCTTGGGCCTCGAGGACTTTCCTGGCTCAATCCCAGCTGCACACTGCAGTCAGGTGCCTGGGCTCCACCACAGACCAGTTAAATCACTCTGTATGGTGGTGCTGGGATCACTCCCCCAGTGATTCTCATGTGCAGCCAGGGTTGAGAACCATTGTTGTGGAGGAAAGAAAGATAGGCCCATAAGCATCTTTAATGCATCATAGAGTTGGGCTCAAGGTGATTTGACCAAAGTAGAAGGGCATTCAGGAAGACTTCACCAAGAAGGTGATGACAATTGAGCTTACCCTTGAGGGATGAGCTGGATTTCGCTAGGGGAAGGAGGTGGGGAGAGAATTCCAGCTCGAGCGATTGCCTGAGGTGTGAGTCACATGGTATATCTGGAAAGTGAGAAGTTGCCTAGTGTGGGTGAAGCAAGTGAAGGCTTCAACTTTGTTCTGTAGTAGAAGTTCTAGAAGGTTTGACATAGCAGCGTGGTGTTAAACGGTGGTCTTGAAGTTCCCCACTGTTAAGTGTGGTCCCTCTCAGGGCTTCCAAATCCAGAGGCTGCTCTCAAGACAACCCTAGCTTCTTTCTTTACTTTAGGAGCTGGAGGATGTCGTTATTGACTTGGGAGAGATTCGGAAACAAGCCTTGCAGAGCCCTGGCGTGAACCGCAGCCTATTTCTCGTCACACTGGAGAGGTGTTTCCAGGTGCTGAACTCCCTGGAGTGTGTGGAGATCCTGGGCAGGGTACTGAAGGGCTCCTCAGGCAGCTTTCTCCAGCCAGACATCCCAGGGAAGCTCCCCCGGCACCTGCAAGAGGATGCTTTCAAGAACCTGTGAGTGCTTCTCCCAGCCCTTGAACCCCACTTCCCATTCCTCAGAGGTGATGCATGGCAGAGGGGAGAAGGCAGGGGGAACAGGTTAACATCTGTGGAGTTTAGAGATGGATGATTAAAACAGTGCCTCCCAAATGTTAGTCATTCTGGTACCATCCTCACAACTTTTGCCCTATGTGTACACCACTTGTACTATTTTTTTTTTCTTATTTGTTTTTGAGAGAGAGAGAGAGATGGGGAGAGAAAGAGAAAATGGGGGAGAGGCAGAGAGAGAGAGGGAGACAGAGGATCCAAAGCAGGCTCTGCGCTGACCGCAGAGAGCCTGATGCGGGGCTTGAACTCACAAACCATGAGATTATGACCTGAGCCCAAGTTGGATGCTCAATGGACTGAGCCACCCAGGCACCCCCTCCACCCACTGGCACTGTTCTTCATGTTTTTTCTTTATAGTGACTCATTCTTTTTAATTAACATTTATTTAAAAAGTAACTTTGATATCATTACTATAAGATCAAGTCTTATTTGGACCAAATGGGACTGCTGCATATGACAACAAGGAAGTCGTTGTTGACTGGGGCCACGAGGAGATGTGTGGTGGGGAGGGGACCAGGCTATAGTGGTTAAACGTGACCAAGACACTTCACACCCAGCAGAGTGTCTCTAATCAAAATGTCAGATAAATATTTGCAAATGATATATCTGAGAAAAGGTTAGTATCCAAAATATATAAAAAACTTATAAAACTCAATACCCCCAAACCAAAAGATTCAATTAAAAATGGGCAGAAGAGGGGCTCCTGGGTGGCTCAGTTGGTTAAGCGTCCAATTCTTGGTTTCGGCTCGGGTCATGATGTTAAGGTTTCATGGGTTCAAGCCCCCTGTCAGGCGCTTTGCTGGCGGCATGGAGCTTGCTTGGGATTCTCTCTCTCTCCCTCTCTCTCTGTCCCTCCCCGACTTGCGCTGTCTCGGTCTCTCTCAAATAAACTTAAAAAAAAAATAGCAGAAGACATGAATAGACATTTTTTCAAAGAAGACATACAGATGGCCAAAATACTGACACATGAAAACATGCTCGACATCACTTATCATCAGGGAAATACAAGTCAAAACCATAATGAGCCATCACCTCACACGTGTCAGAGTGGCTGAAATCAACAACACAAGAAACACTAAGTGTTGGTGAGGATGCAGAGAAAGAGGAACCCTCTTGCACTGTTGGTGGGAATACAAACTGATATAGCCACTCTGGAAAATGGTATGGAGGTTCTTCAAAAAGTTAAAACTAGAACTACCCTATGATCCAACAATTGCACTGCTAAGTATTTGCCCAAAGAATACAAAAATACTAATTCAAAGGGATATGGGCACCTGATGTTTATATTTATAGCAGCATTATCTACAATAGCCAAATTATGGAAACAGCTGGTGTCCATCAATTGATGAATGAATAAAGAAAATGTGTGATATATGTATATATCTCTATCTATCTATAATGGAATATTACTCAGCCATAAAAAATGAAATCTTGCCATTTTCTTTTTTTAAGTATATTTATCTATTTTGAGAGAGAGAGAGAGAATCCAAAGCAGGGCTTGATCTCATGATCTGTGAGATTGTTACCTGAGCCAAAGTCAAGAGTCAGATGCTCAACTGACTGAGCCACCAAGGTGCCCTGAAATCTTAACCATTTTCAGTGGTGTGGATGGAGCTAGAGAGTATTATGCTGAGTGAAATAAGTTAGTCAAATAAGGCAAATACCATACGATTTCACTCATATGTGGAATTTAAGAAATAAAACAAATGAGCAAAAGGAAAAAAAAGAGAGAGGGGCAAACCAAGAAACAGACTCTTAAATATAGAGAACACACATAGTTACCAGAGGGCAGGTGAGTGGGGTACGGGTTAAATAGATGATAGGAATTAAGGAGAGCACTTGTGATGAGCACTGGGTGTTGTATGGAAGTGTTGAATCACTATATTGTACACCTTGAAACTAATATTACACTGTATGTTAGCTAACTGGAATTTAAATACCTGCCCCCCCCCCCCCCCCCCCCCCCCCCCCCCCCCCCCCCCCCGCCTGCCGAATGTCAGATACTAACCAGTGTTGGTGAGGATGTGGAGAAATCAGCACCCTCATACACTGTTGGTCAGAGCATGAAATTGTGTAGCCTCTTTGGACAACAGTCTGGCAGTTCCTAGAAAGGCCAATCACAGAGTTGCCATGTAACCCAGCAATTCCACTCCTGGGTTATCTACCCAAGAGAAATGTAAATGTCTGTCCATACAAAAACTAGTACATGAATGTTTACAATAGCATTATTCATAATAGACAAAAGATGGACACAACTCAGAGGTCCGTCAACTGATGAAGAGATAAACAAAATGGGGTGGGATATGGGCAATGGAATAGTATTTGGCAGTAAAAAGGAACGGACCTTGGAAACATCACACAAAGTGAAAGAAGCCAGACACAAAGCTGGCGTATTACATGCTTCCACTTGTCTGAAATGCCCACAACAGGCAAACTTTGGAGGCAGAAAGTAAATTGTGGTTTCTAGGATTTGAGGTGACTGACTAATGGTTGGGAGGTGGTAGCCTGAGGATATAGGGTTTCTTTTCGAGATGCTTAAAATGTTCCAAAATTGACCGTGGTGACAGTTGCGCAGTTTGGGAACAACGCCATTGAACTTTACATTTTCAGTGGATGAATTGTATGGTGTATGAAGTGTATCTCCATAAAACTGTTAGAAAAGAAGAAGAGGAGGAGGAGGAGGAGGAGGAGGAGGAGGAGGAAGGGGAAGAAGAAGTAGCAATAGCAGGAGCAGTAACAGTGGTATCAGTATAGTAGTCGTAGAGTAGTGAACAAGAGTTGAGGAAGTGGAGAGCACTCTTTGGAAGGAAGGCGTTTAGTTGTGAAGGAGAAAGAGAAATGTGAAAATAGCCGAACACAGCAAGGGAATGAGAAGGCTTGTTAACACAAGACAGACAGTTTTGGGGACACTTGCTGCTTTGACCCATCTCAAGGCCTCCACCTGTTTGTTCCTTAGCTGACGTCCACATTTGTCATTTAGATCTGCGGTGTTCAGAGATCTCTACGACCAAACCTCGGCTCATTCCCAGAGAGCTCTCTACACCTGGATGACTGGGATTTTGCAGACATCCTCCAATGCTACTGGTGAGCCCGGGCTTTGAGGTGGGATCACTTGTCAGGGGGAGCCCATCCTCAAAAGTGGTGCTTCCTCTCTGAAGATAGATTGATTTCATTGTCATGTATGATTTTTCCTCACCCTTCCCACCTTCCAAAAAGGGTTTGATGCGACTTTTGGAATAAAACACATACCCCATTTCATCAATTCACTTTTCACATGCTGAAGGGGTGTCCTGGTTTGCAGGTGGAACAGAAATAATGACTGTATCTTAGCTTCGAAGAGAACCTTTACAGTAGAGTCACGAGTTCAAAATCTGTATCATAAATCTGTATTAAAGTGGGACATGATAAATTTTTAAAAGGAAATCTAAGCAATAAAGCACAGAAATTTAGTGCCGAGTTTCCTGGGAACCAAAGCAGAAATAGGTCAAGATTCATTTATTTTACAGATGTGTATTAGAGGAGTCAAATTCGTGGAGATGGAACGTGGAATGGTGGTTGCCAGGGGCTGGGGTGGGAGGGAGGAATAAGGAGTCGTTGTTTCATGGGGACAGAGTTTCGGTTTTGTGAAATGAAAAAGTTCTAGAAATAGCTAGTGTCAATGGCTGCCAGCAAAGTGAATGCACTTAATGTCACTGAACCATACACTTAAAAATGGTGAAGTTAGTAAATTTTAGGTTATGTTTATTTTACTACAATTGAAAAAAAAAAGACAAAAAGGATGGTTATATAGGTTAGTAATGCAGACAGAAACTCATGGCTTCAATTTGCTGAGTATTTTTTTTTTAAATTTTTAATGTTTATTGATTTTTGACAGAGAGAGAGAGACAGAGCATGAACGGAGGAGGTTCAGAGAGAGATGGAGACACAGAATCTGAAGCAGGCTCCAGGCTCCGAGCTGTCAGCACAGAGCCCGACGCGGGGCTCGAACTCACGGACCGCGAGATCATGACCTGAGCCGAAGTCGGACGCTCAACCCACTGAGCCA